CTAGAAATAAATAAAACATAAAAAAATTAAAAAAAAAATGGTAAGATGTCCCAAAGCCCCAAGTCCCCAGGGTCCCCATGTATGCTGACCTGACAAAACTGTTTATAGTGTCAGGGTAAAAGTAATTATGACATGTGGGGACAGGGGGAGCCCAAACTTAGCTCAGAGAATAGAAGGGAAATTGAGGGACTCCCACACTTCCTCTCCAAGCCTCCTGACAAATTTCTCCATGCTGCCTCAGGGCAGGCATTCTTGGAATCAGAGATAAATGAAACCAACTCCCAACCGCTCGCTGACGCAGAATTAACCACTGCTATCCTTTCCCGCATCCACTGGCTGATGTTCGTAATCATTTCAATATTTGTTTTTATCCCATGCACTAGTTTTATACCTTTTAGGTATGGAACACATATCTCTGCATTTTTTCTAAAATTTCTACGGGGGCTTGTTTTTCTCTATTGTCCAAGTGGTCAATATCCTCATAATTGCTAACCGCAGGAGACATTCTCAGCCCTCTTTTTTTTGACAAGTGACGCAGTAAACACCTTTGCTCCTAATTCTTTCCCATTTCCTCTCACGCTTTCTTGACTGCTCTTTTCTGTGATCTTTCTCTCAGTCTTCTTTTGGTTTAATTTTGTTACTAGATCTGTGGGGGGGGGGTGGTTAGAGCAATTTTAAATTCACAGCAAAATTAAGCAGAAGGTCACAGAGAGTTTCCCCTCCCGCATTATTAACAGCCCCCACCAGAATGATACACTGGTTAAATTCATAAAGTGACACCAATACACCATAATCATCCAGAGTCCACAGTTTACATTACGGTTGTCTTGGTGATGTATATTCTATGGGTGGGTTTGGACAAATATATATTGACATGTATTCACTACTGTAGTGTAGGTAGCTTCGCTACCCTAAAAAAGTCTTCTGTATTCCACTTATTCATCTGTCTCCCCTAATCCCTGAAAACCACCAATATTTCAAACCCCACCGTAGTTTTGACTTTTTCCAGAATGTCATATAGTCGGAACCATACCAGATGTAGCCATTTGGGATACTGGCTTCTTTCACTTAGTGATATGCACTTAAGGTTCCTCCAGGTCTTTTCAGATTCCTTTCTTTTTAGCTCTGAATAGTATTCCACTGCCTGCATGTACTATAGGTTATTTACCCATTTGCCTACTGAAGAACATCTTGATTGGTTCCAAGTTTTGACAATTATGGATAAAGCTGTTCCAACCTTCCATGAGCAGGTTTTTGGGTGGATATAAGTTTTCGGCTCCTTTGGATAAATAAATGCCAAGAAGCATAATCAGCAGACTGTATAGTGTGATACTGTGATATAATAAGATATATATATTTGGTCTCCATCCCTGGTTCCTGTACAGAGCTCCTAAAATCCTAGTAATTTCTCGAGTGATGGGCTGATAGGAACATCTTTTGTTATAATATTTGATTTGAATCCCTGTTTCCTAATACAAAAGCTTCTAAGACCATTGGGATCTCCAGAATGAGGAGGGTTTTTGAATGCTAATGAGATGTGTCTAGTGGCTGGTGGCTCCTGGATAGCATCAGATTGGGGGCTGGTTACCAGAAGGACCAAGGCATGATTAGAGGGTTAGGATGTTCAGCCCCAGCCCACACTTCCAGAGGGCAGAGGGGCTGAAGACAGAGATAATCTTCAATGGCCAATGAATTCATCAATCATACCTAGCTGACAAAACCTCCATAAAACCCCCTAAACTATAGGGATCAGAGATCTTCCAGGTTGGTGAATGTATCCATATACCAAGAGGAAGGTGTACCCCAACTCCACGAGGCCAAAGCTCCTGTGCTTGGGACCCTTCCACACCTCACCCTAGGTATCGCTTCCTCTGGCTGTTTAGTTGCATCCTTTTAATAAACAGTGAACAGTAAGTCAGTAAGTTTCCTTGAATTCTGTGAGCAATTCTGGCAAACTGCCAACTCATTCCAAATCTGCTAGAACTATGTATACTCCCTATGTTTCTTATTCAATTAAGGTGCCATTTATAACCACCACATACACCAACCCAGGCTAAAAATCTCAGTTACCCCCTCCCCCTTCTCACCTCTATACCTAATTGATGACAATCTTGCTAACCAGGTTTCCGAAATATCGTTTGACTCTACTTGCTTCTTTACTTCTCCCATGGTGACCATTTACCTCATGCCTCACCTCCTTCTCAGAATATTGCAATAGTTTTCAGTCTTATCTAACATTCTGATTCTCTTGTCACTACTTCACTCTACATTTCCATATGAGTCATCATTCGAAGGCAACAATGTCTTGTAGAACTTCCTGCAATGATGGAAATGTTCTATAACTGCACTGGCCAAGAGGTTAGTGATTACCCCCTATGTTGCTATTGAGAACATCAAATATGGCTAGTGTGATTGGAGACTTGAATTTTAAATTTGGCTGAATTCAAATCTAGTCACATGGATCTAGAGGCTGCCATATTGGATAGCACAGTTCTAAAATATGATTTTTTTTTCATATCCTACCCTAGTGCTTTCAAAAACTCTTTAACTGTAGAATAAGGTCCAGAGTCTGTAGTACAGCACTGAGGGACTCTCATAATCCAGCTCCTTTTTTCATTCTTGTCACTTCCTCTGCCCCAGTATAGCTGGCACTGTAGAACATTGCTTTACCTAAACAAGCCATAATTTTTGATCTCCCAGCTTTAGATCTTGCTCTTTCCTCTACCTAGAATGCCCTTTGCTTATTTTCTTTCTTTCAACATCTACGACTTTGCATGCCTAGTAAAGCCCTGCACCCACCCTTCCGGAGAGGAACATCTCCATATTCTTAACCTTGAACAAGCCATTGGCATCTCTCAGTCCAGTTTTCTCATCTGCAAAGTGGGAATGATAACATTTTCTCCCTTACAGCATTGCTGGGGGATTCAACATAGCACTAACCAGACTTCCCCACTGAGAAAGAGCTCAGTAAAAAGTGCTGTTACTATTTTCTGTTCTCCCACAACACTTATCATAGGATATTAGAAATCCTTACAGGGGCGCCTGGGTGCTCAGTTGGTTAAGCGTCTGATTTCGGCTCAGGTCATGATCTCGTGTTCGTGGGTTCGAGCCCTTCATCAGGTTCTGTGCTGCCAGCTCAGAGCCTGGAGCCTGTTTCATATTCCGTGTCTCCCTTGCTCTCTGCCCCTCCCCCACTCGTGCTCTGTCACTCTCTGTCTCAAAAATAAACTATAAAAGAATTTTTAAAAATTAAAGAAATCTTTCCAGATGGGACTTTCTCTCTCAAGACTGTGAGTTCATTAGTTGCAAAGACTCAGTCTTTTCATCATTTACACCAGCATCCAGCACGCTGTAGCTATTTGACAAATGCTTTAACTGATGACAGTAATTGAGTGAATCAATTATTCACATAGGATGTCACAGAACTTTAAAAATGTATGCCTTTTTGTGGGCATCTTTAGGGAGGAGCAAAAGAGATATATAGTGGCATGAATGAGAAGAGAGAATGCCAACAGCTTCTCTTGGAAAACATTCTATTTTTCTGATTACTGCCCAGAAAAACTGGCATAAAAGTGTGTTGTTAAATCCGTGTCCCCTCTCCTTGCTTGACTGGAGTGTAGCTCTTACGTTTTTGCCATTTTGACTTTCTGGGTCCTCTGCCCCTCCCCTGCCTTGAGTATTGAGCTTCCATCCCTGTCACCAAGGAAACAGCAAGGATGTCTCATTCCTCACAGCTCTGCATATCTAAACTCTGGTCGCCTTTGTCCAGTGAGCTAAATTCCTCACCACTAAATCAACTGTTTTCTATTCAGAACTTTATCCATTATTCTACCTTTGAAACAACTGATGTATCACAATTTCTTCTCTTGGGAATGGGCGTTTTTTTCCAGACCTGTCACTATTCTTGAATGCACCAGATATTTTTGGTCCCTGGCAGCAAATATAAAAATTGTCTGCTTAGCCCTTGGAGTGTGTGCAATATAAGTGCAGGTCAATTTTAAAGCAGGCAACAGAGCATTCATAATGGGTTTCCCTTTTAAAAGCACAGTAGACCAAAAATAAACCTGACAAAGGGCAGCTGTAGAGTTTTAACATGTGGAAAACTCCACAGGCAGCAGTTATGTAACTGGAAAGAAACATAATAAATATTTCACCCCGTTAGATGAACTTCCAACTCTGACACGTGAAAAGCAAAGAACACAAAACACACCTTAACTCGCCAAAGAGCACAAAGCTCACACTGAGAAGGAGCCAAGGCTCTTGCTAAAATCGGAGCCCTGCCTTCTAGCGGGAGACCCGATCGCTCTTCCCCTACCCCCCCCCCCCCCCCCCACGTCCAAGGCGGAGCCGGAGAATCCCATCTCCCCGCAGCTTCGCCCGTTGGACAGAAACCTTCCAAAAATCTCCACCCCTATGCTGAAAACCCAAAAAGTTTCGTGCCAAGGAGAGGGAAGAAAGGAGTTGGCGCGAGGCGGGCGGAGCTGCCCTCCGCCGCCGCCGACCCCGCCCCGCCCGCGCCTCCCGCCCCGCGGGCTCCTCGCCCCGGGGACAGCTGGCAGCCCCCGCGCGGGGCCAGACACAAAGCCGATCAATCCCGGCGGCGCGGGGGCGGGGGGACGCCCGCCGGGGCTCCCCTTCCGCTCCGCGCCTCCTCCGGCCCCCTCATTAGGACCCAGCCCACACCTCGTCCGGCATCCACGGCCCTCCCGCGCCCACCCTCCACCCCGCAGGGAACAGCCCAGACCCCCCCTCCCCACCCCCCAGGTCCCCGGCCAAGCCAGACCTGCCCCTGGGCCGCGGGCTGAGAAGGCGCCCCCGGCTGGGGGAAGCTGACATCCCCTGGGGTCCGCCCACCGCTCCCCGGGTCTCCCCGGAGCGAGCCTCTTCTCCTCGCCTGCCCCAGAAGTTCAGCACCCCCCTCCTCCCTCCAGCACCCCCCCCCCCAGCCCAGGCCTCCCGCGCTCGGGCCGCCGCGACCCTCCGCTTCCGAGGCGCTGCCCGCTCGGACCCCGGGAAGATGGCGAGGAGGAGCCGCCACCGCCTCCTGCTGCTGCTGCTGCGCTACCTGGTGGTCGCCCTGGGCTGTAAGTTGCTGGGGTCCCTCCACCCTTCCGGCCGCGCGCGCCGGGGCCGGTCTCCCCCACCCGGACCTCCAGCCCCGGACCACCGCGCGCGCGGACGGCGGTCTCAGGCGCCCTGGGGTGCGGCACGTGTGCGGCGGGGGCGTCTGCGCCCCCCCCCCCGCCCCCGCGAGCGGGAGTCCGGGTGCGGGCAGGCGCGGGCATCTTCGGTTTATTTGTAAATAGCATCCGATTTTGTCAGTTCTGGTTCGAGAAAATTAAGAGTCCGTACCAGCAGGCAGTCCTCTTATTGCAAAGTTGGGGTAAGTTTTCAGAGACCCGGGGACGCGAACGGAATGCAAAACTCAGTAACTACGTCTAAGATGCTAAGATCTCAAGATGGCATCACGGGGAGGCAGGGCTGGCCACCCTCTTAAGTACCAGAGAAGGGGGCAGGTAGGGTTAGAGTTTCCTCGGTTTCGGAGGCTCCCAGCTGTACGGGTGCAATGCAGTGCGCTTGTGGGGCAGCGGATGAGCAGAATTCGTGGCCGCTGAGCCAGAATCACTTTTATCCTCGCCACCTGCACGTCTACAGTCGGTTACGAAGTCAGGTCTGGGGACTCCAGCCGGCTGCTGTGTCCTCAGGGGACTTCCCGCGGAATGATTGCTAGAAAGAATCAGAAGCTGAATGAACCGGTAGCGGGAGGGCGTCCCAAAGCCAATTTCACGGGATGGTTCTAAACAGGATTGTAACGGATTCTGGGCTCATGAGATTTAAAATCCTGGGAACATTTCCTATTATTTTGTTTTCTTTGCGTTAACTTTTTAGGAAAACGGAGGAAATTGCAATAGACCTTAAGCACTTAAGCAATCCTCCTTTTACTTTGCCTTATTTTTTTTTCGTCTTATTTTTTAAAAATTATTTTAACAGAATGGGTTATTGTTGCTATTCAAGTTCTGGTAATATACTATTTAAAATGACCCGCCGGATAAGTGTCTAATACCATAATACAATGACTTTTTTCTCACGCTCTTACTGCCAGAGTGAGTATTGCTGAACTCAAGGTGATGTGAGCTTTGTTCCTGGGGGAGGAACACAAGTCGTCTCAGGGAAGGGGCTTACGCTGCTGATTCATAGGATAGAAAATCATGCAAGGCTTCACAATAGAACCATTATGCAATTTTGAATATCAATTGGTATCAGGTGTTGAACACACAAAAGCAATGAAGTAATGAAGAAGGGCAACAAAGAGACAGACTGGAGCAATTGTAACAAAACTGCTGAGAAAGTTATGTATTTTGTTGACGATCCTAAATTTCAAATTAAAAAAGACTGACTTTAGAATTGTCACTAATTAAAAACAGAGAAAATGGTTGCACTCTGCTATTCTTATTCAGGGATCAAAGGGGCAGAATAACCTCTTCTTCAGGCTTTGATTAAATCTAACTATTGGCTCCTCTAACGCTGACTCTAAGGGAGCAATGATTTGGTGTGTGTGGGGATCCCAGGATGACTAAAAGTCTGGCATTGCAAGAATGTTTTCTTTTCTTTGTTTTTTTTTTAAAGTTAACTTTGTTATTTTATACCAGTAGATTTAAAGAAATATTGTGTAGATACTATGGAGAGTTCCTATACATACCACATCCACTTTCTCCTTTTATTAATATTTTACATTAGTATGATATGTTTGTCATAATTAATAAAACAGTTTTGATATGTTATTATTAACTGAAGTCCACACTTTATTTAGATTTCGTTCATTCTTACCGAATGTCCTTTTTTATTTCAGGATCTCATTCAAAGATACCGTATAACATTTAGTAGTCATGTCTCCTTAGGCTCTTGGCTTTGATAGTTCCTCAGACTTCCCTTGTTTTTTATTACCTTGTCAAGTTTGAGGAGTACTGGTGAAGTACACTGTAGAATGCCCCTGAATGGGTATTTTTCTGATGTTTTCTCATGATTTCTGTATCGGGATGGGCTTGTGAATATTTATTTTATACTTTGGATTATAGTCTACTATGATTTTATTTATTTTAGTGCTAAAATTCTTCCAGCTTTGGCCATTGGGAGTTCTTCAGTGATTTCTGTATCCTTTGACGTAACCCCATCATTGTATAAATATATATGTGCATTTTTGTTTGTTGTTAGGGCTTCCTTACTTTCTGGCAACACAAAATGCTTCAGGCTGATCTTGTATATTTCCTACTCTAGTCCTAGGATCAGCCATTTCTCTCAGGAGCCCTGCTTCCTTTTATTGGAGAATGGTATTAGAAACCAATATGCTATCAGAGTGCTGTTCAAAAACAAGAACTTCAGGGCTAAGTTTCACTCCACAATCCACTCCAGATCCAAAACCTGGGTATTACAGGCTACGTATATATCAGCCACTGTTCCAAGGACTTTTTAAAATATTCTCTTTGTAAGTTCTCAAAAACACACATGACAGAACATATCTTCAGCTTACAGATAATGACCCCCGGGCTCAGGAAAGCTCACTTATGGAGGCTGGAAATAAATAAAACTGGGATTTGAGGATCTGAGAATTTGTTCCATAGATCATTGGACTTCTCTCTTTTTGTATCCAAGCACTGAACCCTTTCCACTGTCTTCATTCAGGAAAAGACTTTGTGGATTTCTTAGGCTCTAATTATATACTCATCTTCTTAATATCCACCTCAAATATAATTGTACCCGTAATCCTATTATATGTTTTGTATGTGACATGCTTATTCCATTCTTTCATTTCTATTTGTCTCAATTCTCATCTTTTTCTTAGTAGTCTGGAAGATTTTTGAGGTTGCTGTTGTTATTTAAACTATGATTTCGGTGTACCTGTTGATATATGGACATTTATTTGCATGTTTAGTGGAACTGTATTTTTCTTTACCATTAATATCGGAACTCCACGAAGGGAGGAATTTCTTCATGTTTGCTCACCACTGCGTACATACAGTGCTAAGCACAGTGCCTGGCTAATAGTAAGTGTAAATAGATACCTGTTCATCAGATATGAAGACAATGAGGTGGAATAAATGAAAGAAATGGATGGATGGAATTCATGATTGTGGTATACAATCTAATTGTAGGTAGGAGAGGTGCCAGATTTCTCTTAGGTGGCATTTAAGCCAAGGAGTTAAGTGTGAATGAGAGCAGTGTGCTGTTCTTAATACTGCATGGCTGATAGCTGCTGGTCCTCAAATCTGGAGTGGAACTGAAGCCAGGCAACTTGGCCTGAGTCTGTAATCTCTCATCAACTGATAAGCACTGTGGAGTGGGGAGAAATCTGGATCTTCTGCAAAATCACAAGGTTCTGTCTGCCCCAGTGGTGGAACTGACCCAAAACAGCACGCCAGGGAACCAGTGCCAGGAAAATCCTGCCCTCTGTAAACATTGTTAAGAACAAAGCATTATAATCAATTTGCGGAGGAGAACTGCCTCCATTCTGGCATGATCTTAATTATTTGATGAACGTAAAGGTCACATTGGGCTTGCTGGTAGACCTGATAACCGTTTTAAGACTAAGACAGAAATGACATTCAAAAAGACATCTAAAACAAAAAGTCAGCATAAAGAGAACAATAAGTTCCCCGTGGCTGAGAACCCTCCTTTATCTTTCCCCCAGAGCAGTTTAATGAGAGGAGCCTATGTGAATGTACGTATGTTTGCTCTACCCGTTTTCTATCACAATGGTTTCCTCCTGCCGGCCTTGTTGGCTGCTGTGTTTGTTGAAGTTGGACCAGAAGATCTCTGTAAAGGCCATTATTTAAAATAACCTTTTCGTCCCATAGCACTGTGGAGTACTATTGCCAGATTGATGCTTTGAGGAAGATGAAGGCGAGGATAGAAAAAGGGAATCAGAATGTAGGTCAAGTGCTTTCTATGACAGAAGCAGAGAAAGAAAACTTAAAACTGGGTACCGTTTTCTTGGGAGGTGTTACTCCTATCATGACTAGGACTCAGAAAAACAACCCAACTGTACTAGTTTCCTATTGCTGCAGAAACAAATGACCACAAATAGTACAACGCAGATTTATTATCATAAAGTTCTAGAGGCCAGAGGTCTGAAAGAGGTCTCACTGGGCTAAAATCCCAGTTCGCTTGAGCCATCTGGGTGGATTAATCACCTGAGGATCACTCCGACTTCAGCTCAGGTTATGCTCGCGTGGGTTCCCGAGTTTGAGTCCCACATCGGGCTCTGTGCTGATAGGCTCTATCAGAGCCTGGAGCCTGCTTGGGATTCTGTGTCTTCCTCCCTTGCCACCGCCCACCCTCACTGTTTTTCTCTCTCTCTCAAAAATAAATAAACATTAAAAAAAAAAATAAGTAAAATCAAAGCACGCAAAGGACAGCTTGTCTTCTGGAAGTTCTAGGGGAGAGTCAGCCTCCAAGCTGTTTTTCCTAGCTCTAGGGGCTACCGCCTCCTGGCCGCATTCTTCCACCTCAAAGCCAGCAGTGCCAGGCTCTCATAAACCTGGTCACCCTCTTCTGCCTCCCTCTTCCACTTAAAAGTTCCCTTATAATTACATTGGTTCCACCAGGTAATCCAGGATAAGCTATCCATCCCAAAGTTAGCTGGTTAGCAACTTTAATTCCATCTACAATCTTAATTCCTATTTACCATGTAAGATAACATGTTTACAGGTTCCTGGGATGAGGATGTAGACCTCTCTGGGAGACATTCCCACCAACCCAAATTAGGATGTGCACAGGAACAGTGTAATCATTGTTGTAGCCAAGAATATTCTAGATCCCATGGATCAACTGTAACTTTTACCTTTACTTTTAATTTTTTTAAATGTTTATTTATTTTTGAGAAAGAGACAGACAGAGTGCAAGCAGCGGAGGGGCAGAGAGAGAGGGAGACACAGAATCCGAAGCAGACTCCAGGCTCTGAGCTGTCAGCACAGAGCACACACGGGTCTTGAACTCACGGACTGTGAGATCATGACCTGAGCTGAAGTCAGATGCTTAACCCACTGAGCCACCCAGGAGCTCCTATAACTTTTATCTTTAAATTATA